GTGTTTTGCCGTTAATTTGTTGAATAAATTAACGATAAAAATAATTGGCGTGATGTCTGTCACTATCCAACCTACGCCATATTTGATGTTTCGTCTCTCCTGGGGCCATATTCTCGACGTTAGTGAATAGTCCTTCGTCCACGAATCGACGTTCGTTGACGAACTGCGTATAGTAGTTGTATAGAAGATTCGTTGACGATTGCCGATTCGTGCACGAAGAAGAATTCACCAACGTCGAGAATAGGGCCCCTGGAAATTACCTCTTACGCTCCACTCACCCACGTGCCCATCCCCGTTTTGCCCTACTGAGGAGACCCCTTAAATGTGAGTTAGTTTAGGTGTTGCAAGGGGGTAAATGAAAAGTTGCGGACACGTAAAGGTTTCTAGGAAATGCGGCAATTGGGAATGTACCCACGGAAGTTTTTTTTTATTGGTTCCACGGAAGTTATTGAACGCTTTTCAAAGGAGATATTCACAGGAGTAATAAAGAGTCCGTAAGAATTTTGGTTTTTATACATTAAGAGTAATAAAAAGGTAATAAAGCACTCGGAAAGGGATGCTTGGAATGAAGCTTTTAGTGGGCAATTCAAGTATATCGAAGCACAAAAGACGGGATGGGAAGTGTTGGGGCAGCAATATTTGGCACCAGTTCTGGTGTGGCGCACCAGGCCTATTGTTGTATTGGTAGACCGACAGCCTTATAATCTCTGCCGACAGCGTACAAAAACATAAAATTAAGAAATTCCTCCTGTTGAATTGAGAAAAAATGGGCGCGCAATTTTCATGCAACTAAATGCATGTGTTCGGCCGTGACTAGAGATGCGAAATGACCGTCATTTTTTAGACCGCGTCTAACTAAATTTTCTTAACTGCAAATGATGGTCACAAAAAATACAATCCTATAAAATTCCGGTTTTTTTGGCACAAGGATGAGACTGTCACCGCCAGAAAGATTTTTGCACGCTGATTTCAAATGCGCCGACCAAATATCATAAAATGATGTAGTTTCTAAGAAAAAAATATTAAACTCCTCAAAATGGCCCAAAATCGCCTTTTTCAAAATTTAATTAAAAAATAACGCCTGTGTCTATGGAGCTGAATTAAAAGCAACGAAAAGACCAGAAATTACAGTTCTAGATGGGGTAGGGTAATATTTTAATTAAAAGCACGAAATTATTCAGTAGTAATACCCCGAGAGCTTCAAAATGATCGGATATTTCCCGATAGCTTCGTTGCAAACAAACGAGAGTGTCATGTTTTGTAGGTGTAAATTTTCCTCCTAAATTTGACATGATCGTTTGTTTGCAGGGAAGGTTGAGGGAAATACCCGATGCATTTTGAAGCTCGAGGAGTATTGGAAGGAGTATTTCCTCCATCGGAATTTCGGTCACTGGAGGGCAGCATTTGATGTCAATGTGGTACAACCTACACTTTCACATTTCCATTATTTTGTTTATTCTCCCTTAGCAACGTGCCGTGGTTTTATCAAATTGTACCGATGTAAAACCGTGTAGGTTGTACAACGTGACATCAAATGCGGGCCGCAGATTGCGATCCTATTGGCCGAGATTCCGATGAGGGAAATACTCATAATAAATTCGGTATTTTTTTCAGTAAAATTGCATTTATTTTTCGAAAGAATGTCGTGGCAGCAATAATCTGAAGTTTCGTCTGGATTATTTGAACCCTTATTAAATCTGGTGGTCGAAATTCTACGTGGCCTTACCACGTCAGACTATTGTCGCCATGACATTCTTTCGAAAAATAAATGCAATTTTACTGAAAAAATGCGGAATTTGTTAGGAATAATGTTATTCTTTTTCCACTATCCCGTGATCTACGTTAGAAGAATTAGAAATAATTTTTTGCTTTTATTTAAAACTATTCTACTCCATCTAGAACTATAATTTCTGGTCTTTTTATTGATTTTTTTCAGCTCAATAGATACAGGCGTTATTTTTCAATTAAATTTTGAAAAAGGCGATTTTGGGGCATTTTGAGGACTTCAACATTTATTTCCTTACACTGATGGAATGGTTTATTCGAACCAAACGAGACTTTTTAACTATTACCACGATTCGTTCACTATTAACGAATCGTGGTAGCAGTTAAGAAGCCTCGTTTGGTGCAACTGAATCGTTCCACCTTTTCTATCAGTGTAGAAACTAGGTCATTTTATGAGACTTAGAGGGCGGATTTGAAATTAGCATCCAAAAATCTTTCTAGTGGTGGCAGTCTCATCCCTGCACGCACGAAAAAATTCAATAGAAAAACCTATCGAATTCGTTAGAAAATTCTATTGAATTTATGTTACTTTCTATTAGTTTTTGTCTGATTCTATTGACATGTTCAATAGAAACAATTCAATAGAAAAACCTATCGAATTCGTTAGAAAATTCTATTGAATTTATGTTACTTTCTATTAGTTTTTGTCTGATTCTATTGACATGTTCAATAGAAACAATTCAATAGAAAAAGTTAACAGAATTCGATTTTTCTATATAACTTCTTCTTTTCATATATTTTCTACAGAATTTGCTCGATTCAAATTTTCTAAGTTTTTTTCATTCTATTTTTTTTTCTTCCCATCAAGAATATTAAACGAAAAAACTTAGAAAATTTGAGCCGAGGAAATTCTATAGAAAATATCTCAATAGAATAAGTTATATAGAAAAATTTAATTCTATTGACTTTTTCTACTGAATATTTTCTATTGAACATTTCAATAGAATTGCCCAACAAATTCGATAGGTTTTTCTATTAAATTTTTTCGTCCGTGTGTGCCAAGCAAAGCCGGAATTTTATAGAATTGTGTAATTTACAAACAAATTAATATCAAAATTAAAATATCTATATAGATGCATAATGACAATCATAACTAATTTTAATTTATGACCGTCATAAATAAAAAAAATAGTTTCATTTAGAGATAAAAAGTGACCGTGATTTTCGTTTCAAAATGCACATTATGCTAGTGAAGTCAAATAAAAATAATCAAATAAAATAATCCTGAAGGTAAAACGGTGATGACGATGAAACGGTTTAGAAAGTCATTCTGGCGGTCACAGGGGAGAGGCTAATGAATTCTTAGGATTATTTTACACGACTGATCCTACGGTCCTAAGACCCTTAGGACCATTCAAGCTGTTTAATCACTTCGCTCGTCTTTTCCGTTTGACGCTTAAGAATATTTACTCCTCACCCCTGATTGACCCTCATGGAAATTTCAACCTTCTGATGAGCGGTGCATTAACACAACGATACTCTACAAATATGCCGAAAAAATGTATGATTCATGAAATTTTTTTGTATGCTCAGTGAGAATTTTGTGCATACTTTATGCCGAGTCTTTGCAACTCTATACTTGCGATTGACACTCAGTGTGTACTCATATAGAATTTCGTCTATTCGCGACTTCGCGATCGCAACGTAGATGTGGGAGCCACCATGTGGTCTCTCAACTAACTACTCTTGGGGGCAACCAATGAGATCCCTCGGAGGGAACCAATGATGGAGCTCAACAAATGAGATCAAAGAGAATCCAGTGATTTCATTGGTTGCCCACCAAGAGTAGTTAGTGGAGAGACCACTTGATGGCTCCCACATCTACGTTGCGATTGCAAATAGGGACGACTTCATAATTAACAAAATCACAAAAAACAGTTTCCTGAAATGCAAGGTACACAGAACGCGGAAGCCGGTAGCAAACTACAGTTGCAGTTGTAGCTGCTATTTAATCACAATTTGTTATCTGGCTTTTGCATTAGAGGTAGGCGGGAGTGGGGCAAAATGAAACCTAGAGCAAAATGAAACAGTCGAAAATATGACTGTTTGACGCAATTCAAGCAAAAAAATTTTTTGTATCAACTATTTTTTTTATTAATTTTTGTTTATCAACTTTTTTTATTATTGGGAATAGTAATTTTCCATTCAGTAGAATGGAAAATTATTGTGATGTTTTGACGGGAAAAGATTTTGTCAATGGATTAATTGAAAGAAAATGAAACAACAAAACCCAAAGTCCAAAAGGAAAGGACCAGGAGGAGACCCAGATTGAGAAAAAGGAAAGTGTGATACTGAATTTCAATTGAATGAAACAAAAAGTGTAATCTGCATACTCTAATCAATAGAATTGTAATCAATTGAATTATAAGCCGAATGAAACATTTGTCCCATCACTCCAAATAATAAAAAAAGTTAATAAACAAAAGCTAATAAAAAATTTTTTTTTGCTTGAATTGCGTCAAATAGTCGTTTTACGGCTGTTTCATTTTGCTCCACCCTCCCCGACTATTCAACATTTGTAAGTATCCTTTTTTTCCCCCAAATAAACATTGTCCCATTTTAGCCTTCGATTGTTGTTATGGTCGACGTAACTTCATTTCATGTTGGAGCCACATTTCACATCAAATGCGAATATTTTCCACCCGAAAAACCATTATCATGAGCCTCCAAGGTTTGGTGCCTCATTTCACCCTCCCCTTTTCTATAAAAACATATCGATAGATACTATATTTTGATAAAGCACTCAATTTCTCATTACTGTGACAAAATATTGCCTCCTAATGCGCTATAAATCAATAGAGCGCATTAGGAGATGAATGAATAAATGAGGAGCAAGCCACTACTGTCAACTTCGGATGAAATAAATCTGAACAAAAAAAAATCCCCCCGAATAAAAACCTAAATTACATGTATTCTAACAGGTGATCGGTGCGCGGTTTGTTGTTCCCACGTCTGTTTTTCACCTACCCGCGCAGTCGTTCAAGCATCATCGAATACTCCTGTTGGGTAAATGTCTCATTGAGTTGAGAAAGGAGTAATTCATCAAGAATTATAATAGTTAATCTCACCCTGTAAACGAACAAATTAATTCAGTCATTTACACGACTGTTTTTCTTCTCCCCAGAATAATAAACGCCCATTCAGCATTATATTTTCAATGACACTGGCATAACGATACCAAACTCACTGGACTCAATTTGATTAGCAGCATCGCTATGGGTAGAAAAATAACAGCCGATGTTGGAATACAATGGATAAAATTTTGGACTTGGCCTATATTCACGTGGCCTCCGAATTCGAAAGCACCACGACTTACAAAGATCATTTTTCAAATCGGCTGGTGGATTTTTTTTATCGTCTCTATACTACAACTTGCTTCACTACTCGGCACGGTGTGGGTAAAACGAGGCAATATCCAGCAATTTACTGAGGCCTTGTGTCTAGCCGTTGGTGTGATGCAAGTTATGGTAAAGATGATCAGTGCGAAATGTTACTACCGGCAATTTCAGGTAAGCTCTGGTCTGGGAAATGAATGAAAATAGACATGAATAGGGAAGGGCAATGTTTTAAAAAACATCGATGGTGCGAATTGATTTTTCTGGAAAAAATATCGGTTATTAAAAAAATCAGTTTTTCTCATTACACAGGAAAAAAAAATTAAAAAAAAATTTCTCTTCTTCTCGTTTTTATTGACAAATATTTATTTAAAAATACAACCCGAGGAACTTACGTTTCAAGGATAAGTACTGCTGGAGAATTAAATTTTGAAACTCGAAACAGGATTGTTGATCATTTGAAAAAAGTATATTGGATATTTTCCGTGGCTCAACGTTAGCTGCAATAACTGTTAAAAACTTAAATTACAAAAAAAATTAAAGAAAATAAAATAAAAATAGACGACTGGACTTGTTCACTTATCGTTTACAATGTACATATTGCGGAAAATAATTGCTTCTGATTACTGCTAAATTATTTTTTTTTTTATCGATAAAAAAATGAAAAATTTTGTTGGCTTGATCAGAAACATCGATGCTTCGAAAAAAGAATTGAAAATCGATTAATCGGCCGTTGGAAACATCGAATGAAAAACATCGATGTTTTCGATTAATCGACAAACATCGCCCAACCCTAGGCATGGATGACATTAAATATATCATGCAATTTATAAATATTCAATTGAATATATCGTGCAATTCAATATATCGTTCAATTTACAGTATTTGATTGAAAAGATTGAAGCATTCGTTAAGAATGCAAATTCCCACGAACAAGAAGTACTCACGAAATTCATGCAACGAATTACTCCTTTTTACCTCGGCTTCAATATCTCAGCTATTGTTGCAGCTCTGATTTATGCACTTGGTCCCTTCATTACTAGGCAGCCATTTCCATTTGTCGTCGAGTATCCTTTCCGAGTTGATAAACAACCCATCTACGAGATCATTTTTTTAATACAAACCATAGTGTGTTTCCAATGTGGGGGCACCAGTTTTTATGATTGTCAACTGAGTATACTCCTTTGGTATGGAACAATCCAACTTGATATGCTTGCTGAACAAATGAGAAATGTCAACAATGCTCGAGAACTTAAACACTGTCTTTCCATACATCAAGATATATTACGGTAATTTTTTCTGATTTCTACTAGGCTACACGCAAAATTATTTTATTGCTGGATATGGACATTGAATGTGGGCATGCATATCGCGTGTCTAAAAGCAAAAGATCGTAAACGCCAAAAAGCTACTTTCCGAGTTTCTTAAAACGAGAAGGTCGTATCTCCACTCATATTTTCTGCAATTCTACGTGAAAATACTGGAGAAACTTATTATAATACCTACATTTTCAGATTGATCATGAGCTACATATACGACCTTTTGCCTGTAACTTATGTCCCCAAAAATGAAAAATTCCCCAAAAACAAAAAAAAAACAAACAAAAAAAGCAAAAGGTCGTAATGGCAAAATTTTTCATTTTTTTACCATGTACGACCTTTTGCCTTTTCTGTCCTCAGAAATCGAGACTGACCTAAAAACAAAAGATCGTGTAAGACAAATTTTGGGATTTTTTAATTTCCCTTTTCCGTGGACAAGTTATATCTTCAATATTACAGTCGATCAATCAGTGATAGCCACCAGAAGTGATCGGTGTCTTTGATTATGCTCAAATAATTATATCGGCAACTTCATAAAATAATTTGTGTGAATAGCGTGTCTTCATTTTTAATCTAGATTCGTATATTTCGGAACATGTTAAAAACTCTCAAAATATTTGTATCTTCTGAACATTTTATTCACTAATCACTCCTTAAGATTGCTTCAGGTCCCCTTCGGGACCTTTAGTTTTAAGGGTCCAACAGGGCAGTGATGGGAAGAATCCCGTGTACTTTCGAGGGTCAAATGGGAGGTACAGCACAGAGAAAAAAAAGTGGATTGGCTTTGGAAACTAGTTTCTCGATTTTCGAAACTCCAATTCTTAAGGTTTATCCTTGGTGGGATAAAAAAAAGTAACGAATTTGGGGATTGTTTTTAAGAACAAATATTTTCTAAAACGAATTCTGAATTATTCTTAATTTTAGAAAATTTTCAGATTGAACTAAAAAATTACGGCCAGGTATTTAAAGGGCGTAACTGCCATATATATATAGGGAGCGGTGCCCAAATACCGGAAATTGCAGATGTGAGGACGGGGGATTTTGCGAAGAGGGAGAGGGGGAAGGGGGGTTGTGAATTGAGAATTCACAACCAAAAAAAATTGAGTCAGCGAGTTTTTCAAAATTATCTCCAAAACTAAGGGAGATAGCGAATTTTTATTGAAAATTTGCGGCGGGGAGGGGGGAGGGTTATACATCGAAAATTCAATAAAAGTTCCCTCCCCCAAATTTACAGTACAAATTCGTCATCTCCCTTAGTTTTGGAGATATTTTTAAAAAAGTTACCGACTCAATTTTTTTGGTTGTCAATTCAGTCCCCCTCCTGCCCCTCTCTGCAAAATCATCCCTCAAAAATTGAAAAAATTTTTTAGATTTTAGAAAATATTTTTTCTAAAATTAAGTATATTTATTAATGGAGCTAGAAAAAAATTACTAGATTTTAGAAAACTGAAGGTTAGAAACCACAGTTTCTAAAATTTAGAAACTTTTTTCTAAACCTAATCCACTTTTTCTATCTGTGTATGCTGAACCATGTTTAGAGGGAATTTGAAACTTCTTCAGGTTATAATGATTAACAATCAAACGTTGGTTATCGATACTCATTCAGTAAAAATGAAAATTTCATTGAATTCGGGCGCAACGAGCGAGGTATCTTATTTGAAACCCGCTGATCCCTATTTTTCTCCTCTCTATGGACGCGCGTAGTGGGGGCCCCGGAATTCCACTCTCCTACTGCCCCTGAAGTATCTTATACGAAGCATTCTAACCATAGACGCTTTTTAAGTTGACTGTAACTTTTTGATTTTCCATTATTTTTCAAAATAAAAAAATACATTATCGAATATTTTCGGTTGAATTTTCATATTATTTCCTTTAATTCAATGAAGATTTGCACGCATCAACCGATTTGATACAGCGGATGACATTTGGCCACTGAATCCCCAATTTACGCTTTGCATTTGAATTCTTCATCTAGGTATATTGATGACACCATCAAAACTGTGCGACCCGTGGTAATAACAACAGTTGTGGGGGCCACGATATGCATCGCATCCGGAGGGAATCTTATAGTCGGAGTAAGTCTATCAGTTATTAATAATTCTTACACGAATTTCAATGATTCTATTTTTTGCAGACTGGATCAATCCTTAACAAAGCCCAGTTCGTAATAATTACCTTAGCTTACTCCTTCGAACTCCTTTGCGTTGCGTGGGCGGCGGAAAGTCTGGCAACAGCGGTAAGCTGTTTTAAGGATAATCGGGCGAGTAGAATATTCAAAAAATATAGTCAATTTTATAAAGATTTTTTCACACATTATTGAATGCATTTAGACATCGTTTGCAAAATTTGAGAAACTTCAGAAGTAGGGCAACAACAAAAATGATTTTTAAAGTTGCTACTTATACATGAGGTTAAAGGGAGCATGGATAACTCGTGTATTTCCCCTACATTATCGACCAGTGGGCAATGTGAAAAAAATATTGAAATTATCAGGAACCCATTTAACCTCATGTAGGGTGACCAGGCCAATTGCTGGACGGTTAAAGGAAATTCGAGTTTTGTGGTAGGATTTAAAATCCTACACGAAAAAATAACAGTCTAAAATAAAAGAGTGTCTAAATATAAAAGAATCACTGAAATGGAGATATGATGGCTTCCATACCTCCAAGAATGTTTTAATTAGCAGAAAAAAATTGTTTAAAGTGAAAATAACAAAACAAAGAATAATTAAATTGAGAAATAGTTGAATGTAGCCGAAACCCCCAATTTCTAGACGACTGGGTCATATTTTTTTAAATTTATTAAATGTTGATCAATAGAAGAAAATAATTGATCACGTGATTATACGCAAGTAATATTATGGAGAGGTGAAATAATTCTGTCGTGAATTGGTAAACTAGGATAAGTGCAAAAAAACAAATTTTACAGGAGAGCTGAAAAACTGTTGCTGCCTTTGTGAATAGGGTTTCGAGGGTATTGGCGCTACATTTTTCCCTTTTTATTGGGTCTTTTTTTTAGGTACCAGTATCACGCACGCAGGATGCAATTTGAGTAAAAATTCTGCACTTATCCTTAGTGACTAGATTTTCGGGAAAGATAAGTCAACTTATCTTTTTCGATGACTCAATCAACTGGATATATGTTGACTTATCTCCTGGTGCTCTAAGTAACGATGATAGTCAATTGACCGATTCTTTGAACAAAACGCAAAAGAAGTTCATTGTATCCTTATGACCCTATGGAACAGAAGTAAACAATATGTCCCCAAATACATGGATCATGTTTATTCTATTTCTCCATGTTTCATCTCGAACTGTGGTCTTGGTTGGACGATGAAAACTACTCAAGGGCTTATTTTTTAAACAAAAAAATTCAGTTTGTGGGGGAACTCGGTGGGGGCAAAATGGGGTTTTCTTGAGCTTACACGATTCAATGGCGGCAAAGTGATTATTGCGGGAACATGTACGATTGACTGGGGGCAAAATGGATATGTCCTGAACTTATACGATACAATAGGGAAAAAATCGGTATTTCCTGAACTTACATTATTTAATAGGGGTAAAATGGGTATTTCGAGAATTCGTACGATTGAATGAGGGCAAAATGGGTGTTTCGAGAACGTGCACAGTTGAATGGGGGCAATGTGGGTATTTTGTGAAGTTCTGATATGTCATAGAGGCAAAATGGGTATTTCCAGAATTTATACGATTGGAAGGGGGCAAAATGGGTATTTTTTAGACTTGTGAGATTTAATAGGGGCGAAATAGATATTTCTTGAGCTTGTACGATCGAATAGGAGCAAAATGGGTCTTTCGGCAACTTGTAGGATTGAATAGGAGCAAAATGGGTATTTGGAAAAATTGTAGGATTGAATGGGAGTAAAATGGCTCTTTCCTGAACATGCATCATTGAATCGGGACAAAATTGATATTTTGGGACTTTACACCTTATTTAGGGGGAGAGGGGGACCCAAGTTAAACTTGGAAATCTGCAATGGATGAAAATAGCTATTGAACGGCTCTTGATATATGATGGGCCATCATTAATGGCACACCTGAAAAACTAGAAAGAAATCGGCCCCAACCCGTTATGCCTCATACGTTAAACGGAAACCTCAAACGGAAACCAAATACACGAAAAAGCAGGGCCTCGTTCAATGTATGGGAAAAAATGGGTTGGGCTCGATTTGTTCTCAGTTTCTCAGGTGTGCCATCATATACCAAAAGTCATTTAATTAAGGGCCACAAAGAGAAAATTGAATTTCACGAGGGTTCCAAGGGGAAAATTAAATTTCACGAGGGTCATGAGGGGAACATTATATTTCACGAGGAGCAAACGTCACGAGGCTCACGAGGGCCACACTGACGGAGAAAATAATTTTCTCCTTCATTGCAGATTTCTTGTCTTTGTCCCTATCAAGG